GATACAAGATTGGTTTGCTACGCACCTGCACTGAAGACATCACCAAGGAGAGCGAGAGTTGAGTGATACGAAATTGGTTGTGCGGTCCAAGACGAAGTAGCGGCCATAGCCGCGGAGCTCGGGACACGCAGGAGAGAGGAAGGTGAAGTAGAGAAGGGCGGAGAGATCGCAGAGGGAGGAGGAAGGAAGGATAACGAAGTTTAAGACAGACATAGCCAAGGGTGAACCCAAAAAAAAAAAGGAAGAAGAAAGGGCGAGAAAGAAGAAAGGTGAAGGAGGAGGAAGAGAAGGGAGATTGGCGAGGAAGAAGGTGCCGGCAGCCATAGCCGACTTGGAGGTTGACCGGGCATTGACCAAGGGTTTGTCGGGCGTTGACCAAAGGTTGGCCGGGCGTTGACTAGAGGGTTGACCGGAGCGTTGACCGGAGCATTGACCGAAGTTGTTGACCATGAGTTGACCAAGTTGGAGTTGGTATAATCTCGCCAAGCCCTTAGCCTATCCCCTCGCCCTATGGATGTGCACTCACCCTATGGTACTTGCTGAGTCTGAGTCKGTCTGTCTCTTCTTTCTGCATTGGGTCTCTTTTGTTTAGGTGATAGGACTCCGTGTATGAAGGATAGGGCCTCGTTGACCAAACCCACACGGGCTGAGTAGGGCTAAAGACTGTGTCTGACGACTTGACTGTCCCGGAGGACACGAACCCTCCCAAGGACCGGTACTGACCAGCGGGCTGCTCAGTGTGGCACGGTAGGCCCAAAATCCGAGTTGTGGGCTGCACAACGGGCCGTCTAAGTCTTGAGAGAACCTGCTGACCGCGTCGTCCTATCTGCGACGTTAAAGAATTCCTGAGGAGTTATGGGGGATCTCCTTAAATGCCTCCTGGTCAGCAACAAGTTCTGTAGTGACCACTATAGTGATTAGAGTCTAGGCTAGAGACCATAGTTGACAGGGTTCCATACGGATCTTGTGGTCCTTAGATTGAGTCAGTAGGTCATGTCAGTTAGAGGGTAGGTCTAAGTGGTGAGGAGTGGGATAGTCTCTGTCGTGCACCTAACACCATGGACGATTACCCTATGTACGGCTTGCTTGTGGGGTTCTCCCTGTGGGGGAGTAGGTCGTGTCAATTAGAGGGTAGGTCTAAGTGGTGAGGAGTGGGACAGTCTCTGTCGTGCACCTAACACCATGGACGATTACCCTATGTACAACTTGCTTGTGGGGTTCTCCCTGTGGAGGAACTTCTGGCGTCTCCTCTTCCCTCTGGGATTCTGGAACACCTTTACGTGCAGAGTAGACACGAGGGGTGGTACGACTACCAAGCCTTACACAACAGAAGAGGAGGCGAAAGCCGCCGCCCTTCTGAGAGAGAGAAGAGAGAAGAAGGAGGCCAAGAAGAAGTCCTTGATAGAAGAATAGGCAGCGAAGTTGAAGAAGATTGAGGAGGAGATGGCCAGAGAGAGAGAGGTTAAAGAAGGAAGAAGAAGAGAAGCTCAAAGCGGTAGAAGAGGAGGAAGAGGTAGACGAAACACCACTCGAAAGGCAAAGGACAGGAGGGAGAGGAGAATCCAGTGGTACAAAGGATGATCAGTTGGAAAAAAAGATTACAGAGTGGGTGGCCAATTTATCCCTGGGAGAAGAAGAAGAAGCACTAATGTATGTGCCCAGGGAAGAACAGGAGGCGGCCATGAAGGAGTGGGAGGCAGAAGAAGACCCACTCAAGCGTCATGCCATAGAAGACGAGAAGAGAATGGAGTGGAAGTTCCGGCTAACAAGGGAGAGGAAAGCGAAATTGGAAGCGGTGAGTCAGGCGGCAAAGGAATTGGAGGAGGTAAAGAAGAAGAGGGACCAGATGGCGACGCAGGAGGACTTACTGGGGAAGATGGACATCATGGCAAGGAATATCGAGTGCCTGACACAGGCCCAGGAAGAGCAATACCAGCTTAGTAGAAGTCAGGACATTGCCTTGCGCTCGATACGGCTGGGATTCAGGGAATTCGCAAGGGAGTCAGTGATGCAGGTGGGCTCAGAGGTGAAGGCCCGCCTGGAGAGACAGAGCGTTATTGCACCGGCGCCATAGAGGGCGCCAAGTTGGCCGCGCCAAAGGGGGAAGAAGCACGCCCTCGTAGAGAGCCTGTTAAAGTCAAGTTCCCCGACTTCTACAGTGGGAAGAAGGAGGAGAACTTCGACAATTGGGAAGCCAACATTAAAACGTATGTGCACTTACAAAACATCGCTCCGGACGAGCACGTCCTGATAGCTATACACGCTCTTAGGGAGGAAGCAGCAAGCTTCGCCCGTTCCCTGTGTTGTGCCGCCAACTGCAACGATGATCTCGTTGCCTATTCTGCGTTTACGCCCCTCAATGATTTTCTTAAGTTATTAAGGGAACGATTTGCAAACGTCTCGCGTAGTGTCAAAGCCTTTGATAGGCTGCAAACCATCGACTCCCGCCAGCGGAAGAGTGCCAGGGCACTCAAGGGCGTAATGGACGAGTTAGTCGCCATCCCGAACCATGGGGTCATAGAGACCCAATTGGTCAACCTCTTCTACCGGGCTATGCCCGAACAATTACGAGGGCACTTCTTCGAGAAGAGCCAGCAGCCCACCATGACCTACGACGCATTGAGCAGGGAAGTGGTGGCGTTCGAAGCGAGTTCCATGTCAATTTCCACTTTTCGGCATAAGGACCTGGATAAGGGGAAAAAGTGGAAGGGTCGCACCATCTCGGGTTAGGTCAAGACCAAGGATCGTTTGATCCTTACGTTAGATGAGGGTGGTGTCGACGAGGTCCTCTACGAGCAGATTGAGTGGGGACTAGAGGAGGAGGAGAGTGGCGTTAGCCAAGGGAACTGTTGTCGCGGCCGGAGGGAGGCCGCAAGGAGGAGGTAGAGGCCAGGGCCAAGGGGGCCGGGCCTCAGGGGGCCGTTCCCAGGGCGATCAGGGGGTTGGTGGTAGAGGAGGAAACCGCGGGAGGCAGGGGTCAAGGTCCCCCGCAAAACCGTTCTGGGAATAGGTCGCCTAATAGGGGTAAT